TATTTCTTTTTGCGGTGCTGGGAATCAAATCTAGGACCTTTTGTCATGCTTGACAAGAGCTCTACCACTGAGTTACCCCCCCCCCTTTTTTTTGAGATAAGGTCGTTCTATACAGACCAACCCAGACTGATCTTGATGTGTTAAACTGTTAATTTTGAATATTTTGAAAATTTAAAATCTGAAGAAAATTTGTAAGACTAGTACAATAAGTGCCTATAAATCCTTTACCTAACTCCATTCCTTATTACTTGGCTGCATTTATTTAATTTTCTCTTTTAACATGCCCACTAAAGCATTATACACATTTGAGAGCAAGTTGCAGAGATGACAGCCCTTTTTCTGTCACATTTTGAGCATATATTTCCTAGGACAAGGACATTCTTTCATGATTCTGTGATGTAGTTATCAAAGGCAAGAAAGACAATAATTGAATTTCTCTAAAAGTTCCAACTTTTATAGCAAAACTTTTTCCAAGTAAGAATCAAACATGACATTAATATGTCTTGCCTGTTTCTGTCTCTCTCTCTTTCTCATTCTGTCTCTCTGAAACAGAGACCCATGTATCCCAGGCTGATCTGGAACTCAGTATATAGCTGAGAATGGCTTTGAACTCCTGCTCCTCCTGCTCCCATCTCCCCAGTGCTTGGGTTACAACCATATGCCACCATGCCCAGCTTTGTACTATGCCTCTTTAGTCTCCTTAGTCTGGAACAATTCCTCAGCCTTTTCTTTTTTCTCATGGCATTGGTATTTTTGTTGTTTTGTTTTGTTGAGTCAGGGTTTTCCTGTAGCCCCAGCTGGTCTAGAACTCTGTGTAGTCCAGGCTGGTCTCAATATTGATACTGTTCCTTCCAAAGATGGATCTGAATTTTTCCCTTAAATATGGACCAGGCTTCCTGCATGGCTACAAGCCATCTCACAGAGATGGCCTCTCCCTCCTGAGTGCTGAAATTAAATGTGTGCACCACTACACCCACACATTGGCATTTTTGAACAGTACAGTGTTGTTGGTTTATGAAGTATTGGGTCTAATAGTTTCTTTGTGATTTATTTCAAGGTCCGTATTACCATAAAACTTAGTGATTTTAAAAAACGATAAGCATTTATTATTTAACATCATTTTTATAGCCAGGAATCTGAGAGTACCATAGCTGGGTGGGTCTAGATCAGAGTCTCTGAGAAAGGTTCAGCCAACATGGTTCCTCTGTCTTTTGTCAGAAGGCTTAACCAGGGTTTGAGATTCTGCTCCCAAGATGGTATACTCACCTGGCTCCTGACAGAAAGTCTCAGTTCCTTGTCGGTAGACTCCTCCATGGGGCTGCTTGCATATCTTCACAGCATGGCAGCTGGCTTTGCCACTGGCGCATTCCACTGAGGAAACATGGAGGAAATGTCCATCTTATGACCTCATCTTGGCAGTAGACACAGTCACCCACTATGCCTTCTGCTCTTCCTGTGGGGTGGTTTTAAATATGTCTACGTACAAATTTTTTGATACTGTTCCTTCCAAAGATGGACCTGAATTCTTCCCTTGAATGTGGACCAGAGGTCCCCTGTGTGGCTACAAGGCTTTCCTGATGTCAGTGCTACTAAATCCATGTACTAATAGTCCAAGGAATGCCGCTTCTGCATGGTTAGGTGCTGGCAGAGGTGTCCCATGGCATCATGACACCAGAGACACCAAAGTGAGCCTGGCTTTTTCTTGAGTGCCTGAGTAGGGCCTCTGGGACTAGCCAGAATGAGACTATGACTCTCAGATATGCCATTTGGGTTGTGGGAAAAGCAGTCGCAGTGATGATGAATCCAGGCTGTGGCCAGGGAGTCTCAGAGTTCACTGCAGAACCCGTGGTGGCATTTCTACCAGGGACTTGGAATCCACTAGAAGGCCCTGAGAGGGAGAAGGGGGATGGTCCCAAATTTGGTAGGAAAGGGAGAGGTGATCCAGGAATCTTCATTTAGATTTAGGTTGGTCCCCTGAGTCTCCTGTTGGGTGCAAGGAATAAGCTAGAACTTTCCAAAAAGATTCCTGGACACAAACATCCCAGCCTAGTATAAGCAAAGCCCTGCATTCCAGCAGGTAGTTCTGCCTCTCTGAGCCTCATCTTTAAAATGGGAACAGTAAAACTAACATAGGAAGTGGTTTTAAAGGTAAAAATCAAGCTCTGCCTTTCATCCATTTGAAGGCCCACTTCCCTACCCCCCTCCCTTATTTTAACATTTTTTGGTTTTTTTTTGGTCTTTTTGAGACAGGGTCTCCCTGTAGCCCCAGCTGTCCTGGAACTCACTATGTAGACCAGGCTGGCCTTGAACTCACAGAGATCCGCCTGCCTCTGCCTCCTGAGTGCTGGGCTTAAAGGCGTATACCACCACGCCTGGCTATTTTAACATTTCTAAAATGAGCATGTGCTGTAAAATTCAATGTGTTGGCATCATTTGTCTACTGGTTCACGAACCAGTGTCTCCCAGTCTGCTTAGAATCGTTCTTTTTTAAAGTATGATAAGGACATTGTGTTTGTTATATGTTTAAACATTTTTTTCATCTTCTAGGGATACATTGAAATATATAGAAATAGTTATGAAGGCTGGGATACGCAAGATTTTCTTTGAAAGCAGTCTGAAGCCAGGCATGGTGGTGCACACCTTTGATCCCAGCACTCGGGAGGCAGAGGCAGGGGGATCTCCATGAGATTGAGGCCAGCCTGGTCTACATAGAGAATTACAGGCCAGCCTGGGCTACAGGGAGACCCTGTCTCATGACAAACAAAATCAAACCAATTTGAGATGCAGCTAGCAGGTGATGGGAGATGACACAGATGGATCAAGATTGCTGTATGCTGACAATCATTGATGATGGGGGAAGGATGACTGGAAGGCTTGCATTCTGTCTACCACTTTGAAATGTTTCATAATAAAAGCTGTATATGCAAAGCATGCCCTCCTTGCTTTGCACTGACCAGGTCATCAAGTCAGACAGGTCTTATCCTTTTATTGAGACAGGGTTACATGTATATCCTAGGCTGGTCTCAAACTCATTATATATCTGGGGATGACCTTGAACTTCTTCTGAACCTCTGTCTTTACATCCCAAGTGCTGAGATTACAGGTATGCACCACCAAGCCGTGGTGCTGGGGGTCAAACCTAGGGCTCTGTGTATGCTAGGCAAGTACTCTTGGAGCTACATTACCAGCCCCGTTTCATCCTAAATGTTACCTCGAGGGGCCCTCCGCATCACCTGCCCTGCAGTCGCCCCTTTCTACTCCCCTCCATCGTTGCTCTTTCATCACCTTCCTTGACTTTCTCTATAGCAGGGGTCATTTCTGTCATTATTGACTTGCTTACCTGATTGCTGTCTGCCTGACCGTAGCTCCATGGAATAGGGCCCTTGCCTGTTTGGCGCTTAGTAGGTAATTAGGAAGTACTTGGAGATTGATTGATGGGTGGGGAAGGGGGCACCGGTGCAGTGCTGGGTATGTAATATACAGTGGCAGAGTTAGTTCCACTCTTCTCTCTGTTAGCTCAGTGTCTCCTCTTCTAGCTCCTTTGATTTGTTGCTCAGCCATCTGTGGAGGCCTTGCCTTGGCTGCCAGGAAGCCAGAGGCCTGATGTTTATCTCCTCACAGAGCTGGCTGATCGCCGGGCCAGGCCCCAGTGTCTAAGCTCTAGTGCTTCTGGTGTCCTCCCATCTCGCCATCAACTACTTCCTGCTGACAATTTCCAGGCACTGTCCCTTATGCCCATGACATTGAGTTTATCTGTCACTTTGAGGATAGAGTACTGTGTTGTCCAGGGAGCTTTCAGTGGAAAGTGACAGCAAACCCCTAAACAGAGAACTCAGTGGCTACTGTGAGTGTCAGTCAGGGCCCATCCTTGGGGTTGGATGGGCTTAACCCCATCCACAAGGGCTTCCACCTAATGGAGCAGAGAGAGCTGGATCCCAGGGAGGTGGTTCATGCCATCGGCGCTCCCCCAGGACATTCTAGCCTTCAGCACTCCACCTTTGTCAGGCATAGTGACTGCTGCATGCTGGGGAAGGTGGGCACAGTCCAAGTGACAGAAATACTATGAGTGGCACCTGTCGAGACGGACGGAACCAGGTACTGGAGTAGCACTGTGTGGCCACTGGCTCTCCAGGACAGATGCTTTGCTTCCTAGAGGAGACCAGGGTTGAGCTACTCTTGAAAGGGACAGGAAGTTTGGAAGAGAATGGAGGAAAGGGCAGGAACTGCCAGGAGGAGGGAGCAGTCTGTCTGAGCAAGCAAAACTGGCAGTGGGATTAGAATGGAGTGGATAGATAAGACTGCTACAGGGCAGGGGAGTGACAGTCTCCCTCTCTGACTCTGCCTACTCTGTAAGCTGCTCAAATTTACATATAGCTTTACAGTTTAAAACCAGTATCTCCCAGGCAGAGGTAGTTGGGTGTCGTGGTTACAATCTTTCTTACAGTCTCTTGGGACTCTTTATGGCACACAGGGGGCCTTGGGAGATTATTTCCAGAAGCCTGTAGGTTGTGACCCATGTCCCCATCCTCCTTCTATCCCCAGGACCAATCCGTGCTGACTTCTTCATTCCCGATGTGCTGTTCCACTTGCAGGTGCAAAGAGAAGAAATACAATTATGAGAATTTGCCTAGTACCTCTGTTGTCATAGCATTTTACAATGAAGCTTGGTCAACACTCCTTCGGACAGTTTACAGTGTCCTGGAGACCTCCCCAGACATTCTGTTAGAGGAAGTTATCCTAGTAGATGACTACAGTGACAGAGGTAAGTCCTGTGGCAAGGACTGGGGTGAGAAGGAGGTGACGAAGGAGGGGTTGAGTGTGCCCAGTGAGGATGGGCTGTCTGTGTCCCCTGACCTTCATGAGGAACTGGAATGAGTAGCGATTGGCCAGTGGGGAGGTCACATGGGAGGTAAAGCCACAAGGGGAGTTTGGCCAAATCAGGGAGGGCCTTGGAGATTACCATAGCGTGCTGGGACTTTAATAAGAGCCTGGCAGGAGCTACCCAGAGAACTTCAGAGAGATGAGTAGGTGTAGGTCAGTCTGAGAGTTCAGTGTGCTGTGTGAGGAATGGCAAGGCAGGCTGGGCAAGGATGGAAGGTGGGAGTGTCTGTTGCCCATGAACAGGACAGCCTTGGCTTGGTTGGAACTAGTGTATCCACGGAATGACTTCAGTCAGTGACTTTTGGTTGACTGGCTACAGTGAGGACTGCTGGGCCTAATGGAGGGAAAATAAAGACATGGCAATAGATAAAAAACTGTGGCCTTCATTATTAGGGGCAGTTTCAGACCAAATTCTCATCCTGGGCCACCGTGAGGTCAGCAGCTGCTGAGGTCGTGCTCTGGGCTGTCTGACCATAGTGTGGAGGATGTGCTCTGATTGCATGTGTGTTGGGCTGCTCTTTCAGACACTTCAAAGGAGAGGGATTCAGGCTCTCTCACATCACTGGTGTGGTGTGTCTGGACTTGTCTCCTTTTAACAGTTTCTCCCCCTGAGAGGTTGTACAGCCGCAGTCTGCTTGACCCAGGCTGACTCCTCAGTCTCCCTCTCATTTAGTCAGTCAGAAAAGTTAAAAGGGGGCAAGAACACACCCTTTTTCTTTTTTCTTCTTCTTTTTTTTTTTTTTAGGAAGATTTCCTACCTCTTACTTGGTGGAATGTGGTAGCCTAGCCAGCTCTAGCAGCAAGGGAGGCTGGGAAATAACAGTCTTTATCCTGCTGTCTGTGAGCTCAGCTAAAATCCCTGAAGAGTGAGGACTAGCGGACAAGCAGCAGTGTCTTTGCTGGTCAGGCTGGAATTTGATGCTGAGTAGAGAGACCAGAGATCACCGAGTTCTGGGGTCAGGGCACTTGGGTCTGAGGCAAGCTCTACTGTTACCTGGTTACACCATCTTGGCACCTTGACCAAGTCACTTGTCTTCTCTGAGCCTCAGTTTCTCACTTGTGAATGGATTTATTCACACTTCTGAGTAAATTCAGAGTCTTAGTGAGAAATAAATGAGATCATGGAGACCCTGGTTCTGTATCACACTGTGTAGGCCTGAATCCCCACTCTTACACTCTGGCCTTAACTAGTTCAGTCCCTTATAAAACAGAGTAGGTAATTCTTACATTGTAGGATCATTGTGTGGATTAAATGAGATGAGGTGTGTCAGATTTAGGAGAGCAGAAAAAGGAAGGAGTTTACAGTTAAGAAATAAGAACCGGAGACAGACCTGCAACAGGCAAGGAATATATTCCTTTTATTCAAGGGAACATAGCAAAGGGCCTCTGCTGCCCATGGATACAGACATCAGCAGGACAGAACAGTCTGGTTTTGTATATGAACTCTGCTGAAAGCAGCTGTAGGAATTTGCTTGGTGTCAGGTGTCAGTGTCCTTGGAGTACTCGAGGGTCTTCTTCCTGAGGCTTTTCTCTCAGGATGAGCAGGCATGTTATCTTTTGGCACAGCAGGTTGAGGCTGCAGTCTCTGTAGTGATCAGTTGATAAGGCCAAGCCACCAGAGCAGACTATGACACAGCAGGAGTTAAGTGCCCCTGTAACCAGTCTATGTCAGCCAGGGAAGTGACCAGTTGATAAGACCTAATCAAAAGCCAAGCTGCCAGTTTGGGCCATTTGGCTCAACCTTAAGGAATTTATGTAAGGAAGTTTATGACTCTTGAAATTTACACATTTTATCAAGATGGGAATGTGTTGGGTTCGTGCCTGGTGAATACTTAGGTCATGTTAAACAATAACTTCTGTTTGTATGAAATTTTGTCAGAATTTAAAACTAAATTTTCCTCCTACACATACCACCATTTCACTAACATGTGAATCTAAAAGCACATGTCAGATTGCTTATTTTATGTGTGTGGGATTAGGTAGCTCTGCATAGGCAGGAGTGCTAGACAGAATGCCCTCCTTCATGGATCAGCTCTTGCTAAGGCCAGGCCTCCCCTTCCTCTCACTGTGGCCACTTACAGAGCAGAGAAGGGGCCCCAGGCCCTGGGATGCCTTCAGCAGCTCTGCTTGGCTCCTCCCTGCTTTCCTGGTCAGGCAGTGATGAACGGGACCTCGTCCCTCAGCCCAGGATGACAGGAAGAAGCATAAAAATTTGTTTCATGTTAATTAGTAGATATGAAAAACATTACCATTGAAATCTACCTGATGAATTTATATCCATGCTCAGGTGCCCAGGACCCCAGTGTATCCCAACGCGGCTAATTAAAATCAGATAGATAGAGGTTAGAGAAGCATGTGCAAACATCTAAATGTTAGTAGCATTAAAAATGAGTTTTTCTGTATGAAGCAGTATATTTTAAAATGAAATGGGGATCTTTTTAAAAGGTTAAAACCTCATTCAATTTTATGTCATATAGGGTTTATACTGAGTACAATAATGTGTAACTGTATTAATTCAACACTGTGAACCTAAAAATTATAGCCAATTTTGAAAGAGATGCGTCTTTGCTCTGTAAACTGTTATTGACTATGTCAGTGGTCTTGTAATAAAAATCTCCTTGTGGTTATTATATAAATTAAAAAATAATAATAAGTAAAAATTTTTTTAAAAAAGACTGATTGATTGTGTCTGTTTGCTGAGGAGCAGACCAATTTCTTTCAGCCTGGCCTTGGGCCTCGAAGCAAAGGAGACTATGATACGAACCATCTGAGGGTCTGGGTCTGAGATGAGGTGCCCTGCCAAGGATGTGTGGCAGTGATTCTCCTGCTTTGCTTGTGTCCCCAGAGCACCTGAAGGAGCATCTGGCCAACGAGCTGTCGAGGCTGCCCAAGGTGCGCCTGCTCCGTGCCGGCAAGAGGGAAGGCCTGGTTCGAGCCCGCCTGCTGGGAGCCTCTGTAGCCAGGGGTGATGTGCTGACCTTCCTGGACTGTCACTGTGAATGCCATGAAGGGTGGCCGGAGCCGCTACTGCAGAGGTGCGTGAGCCACCCCTGGGGACAAGGGTGCTTGGGCGGACTCATCTTGGCTACTGAGGAGGATCAGGTGCCTGCATTAGATAGCCTCCAGCAGGCCCTCTGTAATGGCATGCTGGGAAATGATGTGATTCCTGAAAAGTGCTTATAGCATGGCAGCTTGTGGGAGACCTGTTACCATGGCTGTATTTATTGTTACTTCTTATCCAGAAGTAATAATTTATATTACTTCTTATAATACTTATATTACTTCTTATTATAGAAGACCCAGGGAGTGACACCTCCCTCAAACTTGCAAAGTTGTCATAATATAGAACTAGTTCTGGGAATATACATTTGGATGTATTTATTTTAAACATGACTGACTCACTTGGCAGTTAAATCCAGTATGAGCTGTACCTGGGGTCCTTGAAACTCAGTGACCCAAAGGAGTATGTGTGTATGTGTGTATGGATCTGTGTGTGTGTGCGCGCACACACGCATTCATGTAGTACTAGAGATTGAACCAGGGGCCTTAAGCATGCTGGGCAAAAGCTCTACCATTTACTGTATCTTTAGCCCCCACAAAAATGTTTTTTTTTAGCCGGGTGTGGTGGCTCACACCTTTAATCCCAGCACTCGGGAGGCAGAGGCAGGTGGATCTCTGTGAATTTGAGGCCAGCCTGGTCTCCATTAGTGAATCCAGGCCAGCTGTGGCTATAGGGAGACCTTGTCTCAAAAAGACCGAAAAAAAAGTTTTTAAAAAAAATATGACCTTGTCTCAAAAAGACCGAAAAAAAAAAGTTTTTTTAAAAAAATACTAATTTCTTTTAAAATCAGAACCAAAATGAATATATGGGAGTATATACTAATGAATCTAGCCTGTATTATATTTACCTTTATACTAGTTTAATAGTAAAATACTTTTTTTTTAGTACTATACATACATACATACATACACACACACACACACACACACCTTTAAGGCCATTCCCCTGCTAGCCCCAGCCTCTTACCTGGCCACAGGCCTGGCTTCTGTTTCTGTGTCTCCCAGTCTCTTGTCTCTCTGGCATCCTCCCGTTGTTTACTATAGAAGACAGGAGCCCTGCTCTGTCTCAAGCCAGGAGCTCCCCCAGAGGGAGAGGAAGGTGTGAGGGGGCCTCTGTGTAGGCTCCCCTCCATAGGACAAAGGACCAAAGGCCAGGCAACCCTGCAGCTTAGAAACCACAGCCTCCCCACAGCCTCTGACTCTTGGTTGTCAGCATCTGTCTGGAAGAGCTGGGGACCCATCTCTCCCTTCCTGGGTGACACCAAGCCACCCCCACTTTGCTGCTTCCTTCCCTCTGGCTCCTTGTCTCCTGTTGGTGCCATAGCTGCTCTTTTTCCCCTTGCCTCTGAAGAGCATCACCAGGGATGTGATGGAGGCTGAGGTAATGTGAAAGATAGTGACATCTGGAACTTGGCTAATGGGCTCCCTCAAATTCTGCCCCTATGGTGCATAGATGCCTACCTCTCTGCCAGTGTGAAACGTGAGAAGGCCACCCTTCGTTTTGAGCTGATGAGCCCATAATACTTAGAATCTCACTGCAGCCCCGAACCTGTGAATAAGGCCACTAGCATTGAGGATTGTCTGTCTCCACACTGCCTGTCCGTTGGAAATACCTGGGAGATACGTTAAAGAGACCGACACCGGCCCTGCAGCTGACCATTTGCATGTGACTCTTAGGAGAGAGTCCTGGCCTCCTGCATGTTTTCAAAGCCCTCAAAGACTTTGGTGTGCACTGAATTTGAGACTCCTAGAGCTGTAGACTATGCCTACCAGCCAGTCTAAGCTGGATCATGGCCCCTTCCCTCCAGGAGCCCCTGGAAATGGGGCGATGTCTAGGTTATCATGTCGGGTAGCACTCCTGGCATGCTATGAGCCAAGCATACCAAACATCCAGCTTGCAAACCTTCCCTTGGGAATCCTCATCTTAGCTCTGTGAGGAGGCATCTCCATTCCTGCCTTACTGAGGAGGCAACAGGCTCAGATACTGGAGTGGCATCCAGATACTTAGAGCTGTGAATCTAACTTTAACCCTGACCTGCTGGTTTCAGGCTATCTTCTGTTCTTGGGAGATAATTATTTTTTAAAACTACATTTTATTTTGTATGCATGTGTTTGTGTGTATGTGTGCAGGTATGTGCCATAGTGCATGCAAGTTGGCCAGAGGACAACATGGAGGAGTTGATATCTCCTTCTACCATGTGGGTCCTGGGGCTTGAACTTGGGTCATCAGATTTGGCAGCAGGGGCTTTTACCCGCTGAGCCATCTCACTCATCAGACATAATTATTTCTTGATGTCTTAAGATATTTTATTGTGGGGGCTGGAGAGATGGCTCGGTGATTAAGAGCACTGACTGCTCTTGCAGAGGACCCAGGTTCGATTCCCAGCACCCACATGCCAGCTACGAATTGTCCTTAACTCCAGTTCCAGGGGAATCCGAAGCTTTCTTCTGACCTCTGCAGCACTGCATGACACGGGCACACTCGCATGCAGGCAATACACTCATACACATAAAAATAATAATAAAATAAAATTTTTAAAATGTGTTATGAAATTATATTAAAAAAAAGATGTTTTATTGTGATGGAACCTCGTGTACTCCTGAGAAATTAAAATCTGTTTTAAAATTTGCTTTAAGTCACCTTGAGTTTTACACATCTTGACTCTCTAAATGGGATTCAAGTTTAGCCAGAATATCTATGGTCAGTCAGAGAAGAAAAAGCTTCTCCTCACTGCCTCAGCGTTCCGCACCCCCTGCCCCCCCCCGACATGGCTGCAGACCCTTAAATAAGAGAGGTAGGTCTTCTCACCCAGGAGTGCCTGTTTTTGGCTGGAAGTTTGATAAGAGTTCATGTTTGACTTCCTGGTTATCCTGCCGGTCCAGAGCAGAGACAGATGAGACAATATGTTGGGTATTTGCAGGATCCAGGAAAAGGAGTCGGCAGTGGTGTGCCCCGTGATTGATGTCATTGATTGGAACACCTTCGAGTACCTGGGCAACTCTGGAGAGCCCCAGATCGGTGGCTTTGATTGGCGGCTGGTGTTCACCTGGCACGTGGTTCCCCAGCGGGAGCGGGATCTGATGCAGTCCCCCATCGATGTTATCAGGTTGTGTCTGCCTTCCTGGCACTCACCTTTCTGAATGCATCTCCTTACACCCAGCCAGCTTGGCAGGAAAGAAGGCCCATGGTTAGCTGTTGACGCCTCCCTTACTTCATTTTTATCCTCACAACATTTGTTTATTAAATATCTTTGCTGCACAAATAGATATTACATTGGTATGTTTCAGATTTACCTTTTTTATTCTTGTGGTATTGAGGGTTGAACCCTGGGCCTCACACATGTTAAGCAAGCACTTGCTACCCAGCTCTTGTTTTCTAATATTCTAAAAGCACAAGAGGCCTGGGGGTGGATGCTTACCTAGCATGGGTAAGGTCCTGGGTTCCACTCCCAGGACCTCATTTAAACAACAAACATGCACAAAAGCCCTGGGGTTTTTCCCACCTCTGGGCCTTCATTAAATGCTGGAGGCCATTCCCTCCTCTTCTCCAGCCAACCTTCCCACAGACTTCACTGCCTCTGTAAAACTTAGCCCTGGCCTCCGGCCCCCTGCCCCTGCCCTTGCCCCTGTTCCACAGGGCCCTGGGTAGCCTTTGCTAACGTGTGTCATACACAGGGCTCACTTATTGAGATGTCTGAACTTTTTCAAGGCAGGGAGAGTGGGGTACATCTATGCCTCCAGGCCCAGCCTGGTGCAGGGCACAGAGCATGAGCTCAGGTATGCTCATGGATGGATAGACGTAGGCTCCAGGCGGGGAGGCAGTTCAGCCATCCTTGATGGCTTCCTGGCATTTCCATTGAAATGTGGGTATCACTCTTTTCTAGGTCTCCAACAATGGCTCGGGGGCTGTTTGCTGTGAGTAAGAGATATTTTTAATATCTGGGGTCTTATGATACAAGGCATGGAAGTTTGGGGAGGAGAAAACCTCGAATTCTCCTTTAGGGTAAGTATTCTGCTCTTTGGATTCATTTTTTGTTCAGTTCATATTCCCTCTCCCCTCCCTGCCTTACATCCCATGTTGGCAATGAGTCCCGTGATTCTGTGTGATAGCCACATGCCTATCCTATTAACCTGCTTGACTTTTAACTGTTTTAAAAAATGTACTTTTAAAGACTTGGACTGGAAAGGACATCACAAATCTCCTAGTTTCTCTCAGTCTCGAGAGGGGGGTGACTCAGTCACTCAGAGTTAGTAACAGAGCCTGGAGTGAAGCAACAGAGCTGCTTCCTGACCCCATCTCATGGAGCCTCTGTCTGTCTAGCTGATTAGGAGGTAGCCTCTTTGTGTAACATGGTGCCTTTCAAACTGGAACCACTGGAAGACTGCAGGAACTGTGTTAAAAAGACAGGTTCATAGGCTCAGTGTAGAAAGTCAGACGTGATGGATTCAGGATGAGATTAGGAATTTGCTCTCTGTAGTGGCCTTGCTCCTGACTGCTAGTCACTGCCCTTGGAGCCCCTCTGAAAAAAAAAAACCTGAGCTTCTGTGTTATTTCCCAGTCAATGGAATCAAACTATAGATTTTTAGCAATAATTATATAGTGACCTGCTGTCGTGAAAGTGGTTAATAAGGAAGAATTTAACCTCCTTTCCAACTCCAGCCTCACGCCCTACGTTATAAACACCAGATGCTGGGCTTGTTCATAGCATTCTTTGGAAAATGAGGCCCTGGATGACCCTGCCTGCTTATAATGGCCTTTCTGCCTCTTCCTAGGTGTCAGACTGCTCTGCCTCTTCTAGAAGTTTCCTCTCTCCGTTTCAAACCTCTCCTCTTCCTTGCTGCTTTCCTCTCTTCTGTGGCTAGGTGATCAGGTAATGACACCGTGCCTGGCATGCTGAGGAGGTGGGTTGCCTGCGAGCTCTTCTGGCCCTCCAGAGTCAAACGTGGGGTTTATAGTGCATGGACTTTGGGGTTCTTGGCTCCCGTGCCTTGTCTGACTTGGGGTTGCTTTCTTGCTCTTCTCTGTGTGCCCTGTCATGTGCATGCTGGTAAGCGGCCTCCGTCTCCTTGGAGGTGAGCGTCTTGGCAGTGTCCCTCATGACCTCTGGGTACCACCTCCTGGCTGAGCTCTCTGTGGGCCAGCAACCACTCCTTGCTCACTGCGTGACCTCTCCTCTCCACCTCCTTTGCAGATCTGGCAGTGTGGTGGCACTCTGGAAACACACCCCTGCTCCCATGTGGGCCATGTGTTCCCCAAGCAAGCTCCCTACTCCCGCACCAAGGCCCTGGCCAACAGTATGCGTGCTGCTGAAGTGTGCATGGATGAATATAAAGAACTGTACTACTACCAAAACCCCTGGGCCCGTATGGTGAGTCCCCACCCACCTGCAATCTACCCACCTCATCAGAACCAAGCTGCTGAGTCTGGTTTCTCTAGCAGTGGATCTCGTTCCAAGAAAGTGGAGTAACTGGGCTTTCGTGATCCAGTATGGGAACATCTATTCCTTCATTCATAGTAATACCCAGTTGATTCTCATTATCCACCGAGCCGTGTTTTATGAAACTGCTGCAAACCTGAATTAGTGAGTACCATGCCATTGCTCCTAGGGGACTATAGGGTTAGGTTCCTGTGAGACTCCAATTACAGCAGGTTTACCAGCCAGTGAGGATGGTGTTATGTGTGTTTCTGTTTCAAGACATTTTATTTAACATACATTGTTGATCCATCAGTAGTGACCTCATGGCCAAGGGCACCATAACTCATGCCTGCACAGTGCTTACCTAACATGTTTTCTCTCTAAGGCACACCACAGCCTTCTTTCATTTAGAAACACTAGATGGCACTTAGCACTGTGATTGGGGGCCAATTTAGATGGCCGGTAAAGTCACCAACACATTGAGAAAAGGTAAAAAGCATGGGGCTGGAGAGGTGATGGCTCAGAGGTTAAGAACACTGGTAACTCTTGCAGAGGACCTAGGTTTGGTTCCCAGCACTCATGTGGCAGCTAACACTCATCCATAACTCTAGTTCCAGGGCATCCTATATTCTCCTCTGGTCTCTGAGGGCATTGTAACACATACAAAAAATAATAAAAAAAACACACAAAAAAGAGTGAAAAACAAGACTCTCCCAGATCATGAAAAAGACTCATTAACAGTGTGAGCGCTAAAACAAGAATGCAGGGCAGGGCCTCTTTAGACTCCTGGGGTGTGAGGGTTGAATAACTTGAAGGGTTTTTTCGCAATGTCTGTGACATTGTGAAAATACCATGAGCAGTAATCTAGGGTTACAAATCAATTTTAGGAATTGGATGAATTTTCAAGTTCAGAACCAGAGAATAGCAAGGCTTGGCTGTACCAGCAGAGCCTCTCTGGGTTACATGTGGTGTCTTGTGTCATGTTGTGCCCATCATGGTGCGCCCATCATGACTGTCCTCTTTGAGGTAAGCTTGGTTGAGTCCACATGCTCAGGGTGTGAGATAAGCAGTTTGTTGTCTTAAGTTACCGCTCAGGTGCACCTGGCTTCTTAGCTGAAGGACTCATGTCGTTTCAGAAGCCTTTCTCTAGCTCCTTGAAATGTTCACAAACCCTGGACAAATTCTCCTATTGCTGTTCCCTATGGACTCCAGGCACACACTGGGCTGAGCCCCTGCACTCTGTGCTCAGGCCCTGTAAGAGAGAGCCTGCGTATCTCCTCAGGCACATAGCTTAGGGGCTGTTGTCTGCCTCAGAGCCTCATTCTGCCCCTGCACACCTATTGATCTCCCCTTTTTTCCTCTGCAAGGCTTTGGGCCCATGGCTTCTATATTAGCAAACTCTACACATCAGAGCTTTGTACACATGGGAGTTGCTGGGTGACACAAGAAAGCCTTCTTCCAAGCTTATCCCCTGGCCCTCAGTGGAAATCTCTTCTGAAGCTTTCTGGCAGCCCTGCAGGTAGCACCCAAATTCTCATTTTATAGATGAGAGACTTGAAACATTGAGAGAGATAGACTTAAGGAACCTGCCCAAGGCCTGGTAGCTGATGGGATGGCATCAGGCTTGGGGCCTGCATGCTTCAGGGAGCCTCTGGTCCAGCTCTGCTAAGCTCTTGGACTCATAGCCTGACTTCCTGCATGGCCCTGTGACTCAGGGACTCCATGGTCATTTGCTTTAACGTCCTCTATCTTGCCCATTGGGGCAGAGTTAAGCATGTGCTCCTCACTCCCACCCAATCTGGAACTTCCACTTGCTGTTCCCAAGGTGCCCCTCAGAACACACGAGGGGTGTTAAATGCACCTGTAGGCTGCTTGCCAAGGGCTGAGTTTGAAGGTGGGTTTTTGTTTGAAGCTGTGGCAGGTACAGTGATGCACTGAAGAAAGAACTGGGAAATGGCTGAATCAGAAAAGTTACCTGGACACTTACTATTATCCTTTCAATATTTTACTTGTTTGTTTTCAACAAGTTAACATGGTAGGTCAGGGACATTCATATCTCAGCCCTCCGTGTTCTTTTGCCTGAATATTTGCTATAATACATGGAGGCAAGCTTTACTTGGTTATTCAAAAGTTCTCCTGGGTTTTGCCCATGAAACCAAACTTCCATGAGCTTTCATACTGCAGTGCTGAGCTCGTACCATGGTCAAGTATACATTTGTACTTGACTGTATTGTGCAGCAAGTCTTACTCATGACTACGTCTGAAACCCGTGCCTGTGTTTGAGAGTGAATATTTGTTTATTGACAGTAACAGTGTCGCCACCTAAGTCATGGTGAGGCTGCCATTCCTCTAGTTGTATGTGAGGATGGCCTGTGGTCGCGGGTTCCATGATGGATGATGCACAGGTCTGGGGTGCTGTTGCAGGTCTAGAGTTTGGCTCCCAGGCTCTGTCAGCAACTGCTTTGTCTCCTCCCCTCACATACCTAGTTGAACCTCCCTAGAGCTCAAGCCTCTGGGAAGGACCTGCGGTGTAACAGTCTCTTCTGCTCAGTGCAGGCCATAACACAGTGGCTGTTTGAGCCTTCTGTGTTTGGTACTCAGAACACCCTATGTAAAAGCTGTGAGCTGTTCATTATTGAGTGACCTCAGTGAAGACGGGTGTAGATAGGAAGTCTCAGGACCTGTTGGGATTGCCATTCTGTTTTCTCAGGAACCCTTTGGGGATGTGACAGAGAGGAAGATGCTCCGGGCCAACCTCCAATGTAAAGACTTCAAGTGGTTCCTGGAGACAGTATACCCAGAGCTGCACGTGCCAGAGGACAGGCCTGGCTTCTTTGGGATGGTGAGTCGTGGGTCATGGCGGGCCAGGTGTATGAACAATGGATCCTAGGCAAGAAAAGCCTGTTTGTTGGGAACCATAGGCCTCCCCCATTTCCACCCCTCCTACCTTACCATTCACTGTACTTTTCTCTCCCCTAGGGTATCTGGGCCTCAGGTCTAGAATGTTAGATCTGTAAAACAACTAGAAATTGCCAAGTGTAGGCTACTAGCTTTTTTTTTTCCTTTTTTTGGGACAAGGTCTC